AAAATATTGTCTAATGGATATAAAATTGCAAATTATGTGATATATCCCATTGACATCAGTCTAATGCATGACAAAAGCAAAAGAGAAGAGAGTAAGGATTAATTATTATATTTATACATACGTTTGCACTTCATCTTTGTAGTAACCTTGGAAGACAATTGGGCCCCTCACACAAATTTCACCACGAGGGTATGGTTGATCATCTGATGTATAGTTCATCTCTGGAACATCCACAAGCTTTACCTCTAAAACACACACGAATATTATACATTAATATTGGTTTAAAATTTAAATGCAAGAAATAGCAATCTACTTCCATTGATTTATGTATTATAGCATCCTACTTTCATTTTTTCCTATCATAGCATTGTACTTCAAAAACTCTACCCAATTAAAGCAATTTTCATTGCTATCATTGGATAGATTTTTGAAAGTATGATGTCGTAATGAGAAAGATTAAACGTAGAATGTTACAACTGCATAGAATTTTTCAAACTACAATGCCCTAATAAGAAAAAGTTGAAATGACAAAAAGAAATGAAAGTACAATGCTATAATGCAGAAATTATAAAAAACTAACCGCAAGCAGGGTTAGGGGCGCCTACATGACCAGAGAGGACATCATGCTCATTCATAGAAGTTATAACGCAAGAACCCTCAGTCATTCCGTACCCCTCCAATACTGAACAACCGCAACACCTGAAAATATAGGGTTTCAACCCAAGAAATAGCAATGTACTTTTAGTGATTGCTTGTTATGTGTACAATACTTTAATAGAAAGAAATGCAACTAGGATGCTATAAAAAAATATATGAATGAAAGTAAGTTGTTATTTATTGCATTTAGCCCAAAAAATAACTTACACTTTAAGAAAATCCAAGACCTCAGGAGACAAGGGTGATGCACCCGAAACCATAAAACGAACATGTCCACCAAGTTTGTTTTTTATTTTGTTAAATACTAATCTGTCCCACATAGGAGATGCATTTTTTCCTGAAAGATAATATTAGATTATATTATCTAAAGTATTTTAACCTAAAAGGTGCACTTTTGCTAAAAAAAATGTTTGTTAATTGTTACCTTTAAGTAATGCTTGCCTTTTTGCATTAAATGCAACATTAAACAGTCTTTCTTTCAGACCACCAGATGACTTTACTGCATTCATAACACTGCAATAACCACACACCTAATTGAGCATCAATAAGCCTTATTGATTGAAAAATTAAAAATAAAATTATCATACCCATCATATACTCTGTTATATAATCGTGGAACACTGCAGAAGATAGTAGGTCTTAATTCCGCCATGTCATCCAATAATTTCAAATTGTCCTACACGAATAAATATGCAGTGTAAGATTTTGTTCCCCGTTAAGTAAAAAAGAAACAATAGTTTTGTCATGATGTGATTAAGTACAATAGAGAAATCATTCTCATGAACTTAATATGGAAAGAACATAAACTTGTGTTTCTTACTCCTTGATAAAATCCAGTTGAGCCACCATAGTATGCCAACATGATCTGGTTGGACCTTTCATATATGTGTGCCAAAGGAAGATAAGATATATAACTGAAATAAACATGGAGTCCATTAGAAGAAAAAAATGGTGAAAAAAATTGACATTTTAACCAATTTGAGAATGATAATACTTACACATCCGATGGATAGAACTTAATTTCAAGACTTCCACCAGCAACATTTGCAATCAGGTTTCCATGGGAAAGTACAACCCCCTTAAGATAGTTAATACTTATGGTAAGAAAAGATTCAACTTTGGTAAACTTAAAAAGAAAAAGCATAAGTCAATAAGAAAAAAAAAAAAAAAAAAAAAAAAAAAACCTTTGGTGTCCCCGTTGTACCACTTGTATAACATATTGTAGCAACATCATCTGGTTTTGGTGGACGAAAAGGGTGCTGATCATTACTTCCCTAAAAAGCATCATTTCATATGAACAATAAATCAGTAATCAAATGGAAGAAATCATAAAAGATTAACTCAAATCATAGAAACTCATGTTATAATTGGAGATGTTTAAGTGTGTTGTTATGATAACAAGATAGAGTTATTGAAAATTTCAGCAAAATCAAAAACTAAATTATGATTCAATAAAAGGATTTGAAGTTACCTGAGCAATAAGCTTTGAAAATGATACAACCTTAACTCCAGTTTCTGATGGAAGAGATGGCATTAACTCATCTAGCCCTCCAACCACCTAAAATACAAGTCAATATTTAGTAAAGAATCTTATAAGTGAAATTGATTAGAAATGAAACAAATGATTAACCATCATACCACTATTAAACGCACAGAAGGAATCTCTGACAAAAAGCTCAGCAACTGAAATGTGATTAATAACTAGTCACAAATTTAAACATTTAAAAGTATCAATGGGAAAAAAATAGGCGAAACTTACAATATGCAATGTTTGTGGCACACAAAATATGGCTTGCGTAGAAGAATGATTCACAATATACTTCACAGCATCCGGACCTACAAGATTTGGCATTAAATACATTTGCAGCATAAAATAAAGAAAGGTGATTTAAAAGTTTGACAAAATAATTGTGTACAAACCAAGGGTATCATATAAAGGGACAGATATGTAAGAATATGCAGAGCAAGCATGATCAACAATTATCCACTCGGGTCTGTTGATAAAGTATAATCCAACACAGGATCCCTGTTGCAATATTATACAATTGAACTTATAACACATAATATTAAAAAAAAAAAAAAAAAAAAAAAGTACAAAAAGGAGAAATTAGTATAATGCAAGTGACATGCCTTGGGTATTCCATGGGCCACTAACCCAGAACCAATAGCTGACCGGGCTTTAGCTGCTTCCCCATAAGTGGTCCATTTGTATCTTTAATAAAATGAAGATAAATTATAAAGTATTTGTACCCAATCTGCTTTAAAAAAATAATAAACTACTTAACATACTCTCCAACACTTCCATCTTCATGAATCCGTGTACCCAAATACTTGTAATCCCGGAAGGTTTCAGATGCATACCTATAGTCGAAGCAAATTATTGATGTTTTTTTCCATGATTTGCATAATATTTACAATTCTAGTGAAGAAATCAAAATATAGTGACAGTAGATGCTTACACAAAATTATCATGTAAGGTACCAATGTCAGGATGATCAGGGAATCTACTGACTAACTTCAAAGGAGAGGTCGCAGATCTGCCATCGAAAAGGGATATATATATATATATATATATATATATATATATATATATATATGTCAAGGATTCAAGTGATGTAATGTTTGATGATGAACCAATGAGCTATGAGTACTACGTACCTGTAAACATTCCATTTTCCTGTCTTCAATTTCTCCGGAAGAACAACACTGTACCCTTGTTCTGCCACAGTAACAAAATCAGTGAATATAGACATGAAATGTAGAGTAAATATGTGTATATGAATATGAAATCTAGAGTTGATAAAAAAACCATAGAACAACTAATTTCCTTCATGAGTTTATGGAAAGCGGACTACATAGATGCATAGTTTCATGGAATCCAAGATTTGATATGCCATATAAAACTATTAGGCGTTTAGCTGATTCTAAAACATGCCAGATTCTAAAGTAGTTTCCCACTCATATCACAAACACGGTTGCATTAGAAATCCAAACTACCCACATAAATCACAATAATCCCCTTATGAATCTGTGTTTGATATAATATATATATATATATATATATATATATATATATATATATATATATATATATATATATATATAGAGAGAGAGAGAGAGAGAGAGAGAGAGAGAGAGTTACCTGTGAAAAACTCCCCGGCTGTTTGGTTTTGTTGCAGCGTTGAGTAAGGATCGCCGGCGGCAGAGGTAATGTGGTTTTGAATAGTTTGAAACCGGCGGCTCGCCTTAGATTCCATTGATTTTCACCGGAACGATGAAAATGGGGGATTATGTTCTAGTCTCGCAGATTCAAACTTTTTCTGACACAATGTGTACTTAATATGTGTATGGATGAATATATAAAATTTTGAGTGGGAGATGGTGTATTTTGAAAGTTGACGAACTTCATATATGGATATTATAATATGGATTATGGAATATAATTTTCAATGTGATAACGTGAACACATGGATATATATATATATATATATATATATATATATATATATATATATATATATATATATATATATATATATATATATATATATATATATATATATATATATATATATATAGACTAGTCGTTTACCCGCACCTAGCGATAGGTTCGAATAATTTATTCCACAAATTATTTTAGAGAGGTAATTAGTTTTTTTTGTCAAATAAATGATTACTTTCACCTCAGTGGATAGTTGACTTCAAGAAACATATCATATTAAAAATAAGACACGATGTATTGGAAAATATAAGTTATTAGTTTCAATTCAAATATTGTTTTTCTTTTCGTCAATGTATTTTTTAATGTATTCATTGTTTTTTATATATTTTATAGTTTTTTCATTGGATTTATTTTCTCAAAAATTGATATTTTTTAGTTAATGACATTGATAACACATAAAAAAACATTTTCTTCATTGATGTAAATTAATTAACAAAACATAGTAATTTCGGATTAATATTTGGTATTTTTTGTTTAGGATTTATGTTACAGTCTACGGTTTATTGTTTAGGTTCTTGAGTTTAGAGTACAATATATAAGCAGATAGTGGGATACCCATGCGATGTGACTCCGATTGTTAATTTCATTTCAATGAATAGTTTACATACAAAGATTAACTCAATTCGATGAATAGTTTCCGTGCGGCGTAGTTTCAATTCACACACATGTCAAATTCCAAAACAATACGAAATGGATCAGTATATATCATCATACAACCACTAAACCGAGTTTCATACAAGCCCCCCCACGGTTTGAAGCAACCCGCCACTATGAATCGACATCCACTACTTCTTGTCATAACCTTCTTCACCATCATAAACGAACCACTTATCACTTTCAACTATACCTTAGTCTCCTTGTTGCATCCGTGAACTGCCATGCAAGCAACCACCTTTGGAGAGACATAACCTAGATCACATCTAACATCACCTCTTAGGCATACCACACCCATACAACGGGTTTCATTAACCATGATCTCGGAACCCCACCGACTACAACTTATGACATCATAAACTACACCTTCATAACCAGGGGAAAAAAACCCTTCCTAGAACAGAACAAAAGAGATTAATAAAATGTTGGTTCTTATATGTGATAAGGAAAGAGGAAGAGTAAAAAGAAAGTGTTGGTTATGGTTATAGTTTTTAAATTCTTTTGACAAAAGTGAGTATAAGTACCAAAGATCTAAGTGGTTTAATGATTTTCTAAGTCCAAGCGAAAGATTACCTGACATTACTCTAAATATGATGACCATTAGACAACTAAATATTCCGTTGACTTTTCTTACCATTACCATCAAAGACTTTATTTGTTTTTAAAAGATACAATAATAATTAAATACTTTCCAACAAAATCATGAATAGTAATTGATGAAATCTTAATAACTTTTTTCCTTTTAATCCATATATTCCTCTCCCTTCAAAAAAACCTTATCCCCAATAAAATTCAAATAACTCTTGGGTTTGGGAAAAAACTAACTGTAAATATAAAGCCATTAGCAATATGTGCCCATGACATTTTCCTAAAACAACATCAACAATTAATAAGACAATTATATCACATTAACGATAAAAGTTAAATGTGTACATATACAAAAGTAGATCTACACAAACAATACAGTTCAGATCACATGGGATTTCGCATCCTTCTGTTTCATAGGAAATGCATTTCTTTACCTTTACACTCTAGAATCTTTATTCTGACAACACGATTTCTGTAAAGATCTATAACAAAAAAAACACCCACACACAACCCACAAATATTGTATACATTAGTAACTTGATATAACACTAAACCCAAAAAACTACGTACATTAGTAAAAAAAATGTTTTTTTTTTTTTTATGTTTCTAAGTAGTTACTACATGTTGGTTTAATAAAATTTAAAAAAAAAATAATTGTAGCACAAATTTCCCGTTTTCCCCATCCCAACTCTTGATTGACCGCCATATAAGCCAAAAATGTGGATTTTAATGAAGAAAAGAATTAGAAAGGTGTATCAAAGTAACATCAAGAAAAGTAGCTAAAAATAAGGAAACATGTGCAAATGGCTCCATTTTGACTCCAGATTCTAAACTTGATAAAGTATGTAGTGCACACAAGACAAATCAATACAATTACCATTAAGAATGACCAAAATACCATTCATGAAGTTCACGTTTAATCTCTGTTTTGTAGGCATGTAGGCTTGCTCTATTGTGTATCTATGTTTTCTAGGCAGAGGATACATGAGTCGATTGGTGAATCGATGCAATGAGTACCTGAAAAATGCAAACATTTTATAGGCGGTTAAGTTTGATGGGATATTTACAAATTTACCCTTAGGGTTGTTTTTCCTTATAGATAAATAGCAACATACTTAAAATTATATATCCATAATAGCACACACACATCACACATCATAAAAACACACACATGTACACCAAACACAAAAAGAAAATTAGTAATGTACTTTGGAAGATATGACCATTTATAACACTCTACTTTCATATTTTTATATTTGACCAAACAGAAAATGAAAGCATGATGCTATATTTGACAAACAAAAAAGAGTACATTGTTATTCGAAAAACATAAAATGGAAGGAGGTTCCTATTAAAACGTTGATGTCTCAAAGTACAATGCTATTATGAGACATAACTCTCATTAGAAACCCTGAAATATTTATTTACTTAGATTAAGAGATAAGAGAAGAAATGAGAAATGGGAGCTATTTATATATTATAACAAATGTATAGACTTGTCCGCATTAAGTTTATGAAGTTAAAACAAAAAAAATCATGTTAGTAGAAAAGAACAACATACCAGTAAGCTAGAATATAAGATTATAATATCCATAAGGGAATATGAGTAAACACCTGCAAAAATAATGCAGTTTTTTAGGAAAAAAACCTGAGGTTAAATTGACAATGTGAATTGCATATCCATCTAAAATATTTGAATGATCATAAAGTGATCATTTTCGTTGTTTTATTTAGAATCTTACCACACTTATCACATGCCCTGCATCCAAATAACATATAGAGGAATATAAACAAAACGCACCATTATTAAAAACATTTGTTTTGCCAAATTTAAAAGCAAATGGGACCTGAATTGCATCACAATATAGGAATACAGTCAACCTGCAAGTATGCAACCATTACAAAATTTAATCTTATTAATTTGAACCAAAACTGAATGAAAATCATATGCAAATAGAAGTAATAAGATTTAACCACAATACATTACAGTTAAAAAATTGGACTTAACTGGGATTCCAACTCAAAAGATGACAAAATGAGAAAGAAACACCACACTATTGTAAAATAAACCAAAAAACCAGACTTACCTGAGATTCCAACTCCAAAATCAGATTTGATCATGTCTGTGAAAAAAAAAAAAAAAAAAAAACAAAAAACAAAAACAAACAAACAAAATTGAGCATAGGTTGAGAATAGGATTCAACAGTGGCACTTTGTGTTGAATATTAGATCCAAAATCGATTTTATAGAAGAAATCACTTAACAAATCAATTTCAAATAATAAATCGATTTTAGAAATAGAGACGAGAAGCAAGCATATCGATTTTATAGAAACGATTTCAGCCATGGAGAAAAGAAGCTTACCAACGGTGTTGTTGGGGTAAGAAGGTGATGAAGTGGTGGCTCTAGTAGAGGAATTCCTGAAAACACCATACTGAAAAATCTATCAAGATGGAAATAAAAACAAAAAACTCAGTTCATGTTAATATTAGAAAACCCCAAAATCGGAAAAACCAAAATTGAGAATATATAATTTAGATTCTTCAATTCAATTATGAATTTTGAAGAGAAACATTGACAGTAAGAAAGGAAAAAAGAACAATCTCAGAAAAAGAGCAAATACTTGCAAATCGGCTGAGTCCGAGGTTTAGAGTTTTCATTCAGAATACCCAAATCACTCTTATTTTATAACCAACAATATAGATAATCGATTGATTAACTACTGATTAACTACTGAAGCAGAACATAAATCGTGATGGTTGTTGCCGTCGGAAGCCATGGCATCAAAGGGTGTGTATGTGTGTGTTTGCGTGGTGTTGCGATGGCCAAGAGAAAAAGTGGATGAAGAAAAGAAAGAAACTGAATATGAGTTTGGAGAGAAGGGAAGTAATCACGTGAAGAGGAAAGAGAAGGTGGAGGAGTTGTATGGAAGAAATGCAAGATACCAATGAATCGAACACGTTTTTTATTTGAATATGTTGAATGTGAGGAATACCAGTTCAGTATTGACCGATTCAAAAGGTTAATCCTTTCAATTGATGTTGCTTTGCGACATGTGTAATGAGTGATGACGGAAGGATTGAGTGGTGGTGGCGGTGGAGTGTAGGGTTTTTGGAGAACGGAGGAGCATAAAGGTGGTGAGATGCAACATATAGGGGAAGGAGGAGAGGATGCTGCAAGCCGTTTCCCAGATCAACTGATTCAAGAAGTCTAGGATGCTATATAACTTTGACTGATCCAACAGACTCAATTGATTTTGACCAATTCAAGTGGAGAAATAGTGGGGAGGTTGTTGGAGTGATAAGGAATAAGATATAAGATCCGATCAAAATCCATGTTGATTAAATAAGAATCATTGCATAAAGTTGTTGTATATGATGCATAACAATTTATACCTCTTAAAATTCAGCAAAATGTGGTAAATGCTTTTTAAGGTATATATATATATATATATATATATATATATATATATATATATATATATATATATATATATATATATATATATATAAAGCTATGTTCAAATGTTTTTAGCAATTATTGTGTGCCTAAATGCACTAATGAAAATTAATAAATAATTAAATAAATCATTTAAGGGTATTTTGGACCTTTTATACTTTTATTTAAGAAAATCATTTAATTGAAATCCTACAATTAAGGAAATAAAATAAATATATTTGACCTAGTCATTTAATTGAAATTTTATCAACCATTGCCATACTACCATCTCGTGTCGTCGCCTCCCTCCAAATCCACTTTCGTCGCTGCCTCTAACTTGCTCAACGGTTGTAGCCGCCTCCGACTTCTTCCACTGCATCGCCAACACCCTCCATTACTACTGTGATGCCGCCTTGAGAAGTCCTCCGCATCCCTTGACTTCGTCCGGCAGCAAGAGGCCCCACCACCGCCGCCCGCCGATTGTTGCTATTCTGCCACCTCCAGCCACCCATTTCGGTTTAAGGTAACCTTGCATACCTCTATTTGCTTCCTGTATACATCGTCGATCAATAGAATACTAAAACGATTTTATTTTGTTACTCATCGTGCATAGAGGTCGATACAGGAAGAAAGTCTCCTTCTGTTTATCAATTGTTTATCAATTGAACCAAACTCCAAATTCAAAATAAATTTCTTTAACCCATTTTCAAAATCTATTACAAATCTAGTCCCTAACTCAATAAACTGCATTTAATTTGTGCAAAACAAACCATCTCCTACAAATGATTTTTATATTGGTCCTAATAGCCTAAACTAATAATTATTTTATTTACATTTAACCCTCATTGTGATTTATTTGCAAAATAATTTCAACTCTATTACAACTCTTGAATTCTGTATTCAATCACAACTCTTGAATTGTGTAATTTATTCTATTAGAATTTATTTATATAAATGTATTATGTTAGAATGTTTGAGAATAATTGTTAACAACAAGTATATTGGTTTAACTGGTAATGAATTTGTGATACTTTATGGATGATTTTATAGTCTCTACTACATTCTCTTAGAATTTATATTTTTTATTTTCTACTATATTCTATCAAACCTTATAGTCTTTAATATATTCTCTTAGAATTTATAGTCTTTATTCTCTTAGAATGCATTGAATTTTTAATTTTTGAAACTTGATTATGTTTTCTTTGTGGATTTAGGTTTTGAAAAGGCTAACATTTATGTGGAGAAGAAAGAAAACATAGAGAACGAGAGTGTATTATATCAGAATGTGTTATGCTATAATGTATAAAGTGTTGCTTAACAATAATATTCTCTCAGAATAGATTAGTGTTTTTGTTAGATTTTGATGTTTTTTTTTTCTTTTTTTCTTTCAAATTGTTGTTATTATTCAATCAATCACAAACATACAATGTAATTATTTGGTATATTATTAGTTCAATAATTGATTTTATGTATTATTTTCAGAATGTATTTACTAGTTTATGATTGACATTCTGTCATTGTAACAGAATAAAATCGAAAAATATGTTTACTAGTTTATGGTTAACATTCTATCATTCTGATAGAATAAAATTGGATTTTTAATTTTGAATTAATTTAAAATATTCAGATTTTTAAAAATACATGAATTAATTATCCCTAAAAATCCGAAAATTTCCTTTTTTAATATAGGTTAATTGACTAAAATGCCCTTATGCTAAAATTTGTGTGATTATATGATACATGTTATCCTATTCTACTATCATAGACCCTCAGATCATGACATTTGATTATATTCTATCCAATGGTCCAGATCTGTGCATTCTGGCACACAATAGTTACTAGAAACAAAATAACCTAACCATATATATATATATATATATATATATATATATATATATATATATATATATGTGGAAAAATTCAATAGAAAACCATTATTAATCAAGGAACTAAGGAACTAATCCAAAGTGTCATAATTTAAAGCGATCAACGGCAAAAGAAAGGGTTGTAAACTTTTATAATGGATACACATGTACCAGATTATAACAAAACTCACTTACTTTTATTCATTTAAAAAAAATTTAGACCAAGTTATTTATCGAAAAAAAAAACGAGTATACCGTTGTTCACGATTTTTCGTCCTATTTCCATAGAGATCCATGATGATATATAAAAAACAAAACTTTTTTTCGAAAAAAACTCACTTAATTTTCTTAGTTTTTCCAATATTTAAGTTTATTTTTATCAAAAACAAAACTAATTATACCAAAAAATTAATTTTTTGTACTCTATTAATAAACATCAACACCGATTAAAAAAAACAAAAACCTCAAATAGTGTAGATTCACACTATGAATTTAAACTGTAAATATTTCAATTTCTAAAATTCACAATATGAAAAATCTCGAACAGTTCAGATTCACATTGTGAATCTGAATTACTATTATGCACACTGTGAATGTAAAAAGGTTAAAAAAAAAAAAAAACCTTCGGTCAGTGTAGATTCACACTGTGAACCTAAACTGTAAATATTTCAAATTTTAACATTCACAATGTGAAAAACCTTCGATCAGTTCAGATTCACACTGTGAATCTGACTTATTATTATGCACACTGTGAATCTGAGGAGGTTCACAATGTGAATTTGAAAAGGTTCACAATATGAATCTGAACAGGTTCACAATGTGAATCTGAACTGAAATATCATTTTTTTAACATAAATATGAATTTTGATATATTTATTATTTTTTTCTATAAAAAATAGACCTTAACTTTTTTCATCAAAAAAAATGAAGTGGGTTTTTTCGAGAAAAAAAATCGTTTTTTATATATCATCATTGATCTCTATGAAAAGATGACGAAAAATCGTGAACAACAATATATTCGGCTTTTTTTTTTCGATAAAAAACATGGCCTAAAAAAAATTTTAAACGAAAAAAAGTGGTGTGTTTTTTTTGTAAAGGGTATATTTTTTGGTATAATCCGGTGTGTGTGCGTCCAATGTAAAAGTGTACGTCTATTTCCTTGGCCATTGATCGTTATGATTTCCGACGCTCACGATTAGTTCCTTGATTCATTGGTTAGTTATAGTTCTTTATTGAACCTCACCATATATATATATATATATATATATATATATATATATATATATATATATATATATATAGAGAGAGAGAGAGAGAGAGAGAGGTGGGTTCAATTGAGAAAATAAAAAAGGTTGAGAATGAGGGAATCATTCTCAGCCACTCATTTTATTCAAGCATAAAAAGACACGGTGACAAACTTGTAAATATGAGAACAACATTTAATATCAAATACGTATCTGTAGTTCAAACCCATTCATCGTTCATCATCCAAATTTCTTCTCCAACTTTCAACAATCATCCAGATTTCTTCGATTAAACCATTATCAATCCATTTTTTTTGATCGAGTAAAGTCGTAAAGGGGATACGAAGCAGATGATGGCGAGAGGAAAACGAGAAGCGAATCGATGAACGAACACAGCGGGCTTTGCAGCAACCCTTCGTTCACCTCCCGTCATCGGCAGCAAAGGAGACCAAGGTGAAGATTCTCCGGTGCTTGTCTTCATCTGATTAAGGGGGAGAAGCACGGAGGTTCGTCGCCTGACTCGCAAACCGAGATGGTCTCCGTGGTTTTGACTAGACCAAAGGAGGAGGTGTTTGGTTTTGCTAGGAGATTGCGATCGGAAAGAAGCCAAAAGCGAGGGTTTGGTTTTGCTAGGAGATTGGGTCGGGCGTCCGCTGCCTCTCATTTGCTTCCTGCCGACGAGAAATGAAGAGAGAGGGAGGCGAGGGAAGATGGCATCGGTGTTAGTGGGTCAACGAGCCAAGGCATAAAGGGAAACCGAGGTTCCAATCGACGGAAATAGTCTAAAAGATGGTGGCTTTAGGCTGTGGTAATCGACGGGAAGTGCTAAAGGATCTCGATGGGGCAGTTGTTGCTTCAATTGGTATGGTCCTCTTCTCGTTTCTTTTATTTTGATTGTAAATCAGTTAGGTGGGTGTTTGGGTGATCGATGTTCAACGAGTGAGTAGATGGGGGGGAAAAGGATTTGATCAGGTTTGGTGTGTTCATCATGAACAGATGGAGAAAGGGGTTTGACTGGAAATCAACGATAACGAAGGGAGTTTGGTTTGTTTCATTTGACAGGAAAGAAAACAGATGACAATGATTTCATGGATGTTTGTTTGCTATTGTTTAATCTTGTTTGGATAGAAATGTATGGTGTGTTTGGTTGGATCATTTGATAGGAAAGTCTGTATCTTATTTATATGTGAATAACATATAAAAATTATATATATTTGTGAAAATACATTATAATATTCATATGTGAATATACTGTGTAATATTCATATGTGAATATACTGTGTAATATTCATATGTGAATATATTGTGTAATATTCATATGTGAATATATCATCTAATATTCACAAATGAATATACTATGTAATATTCACATGTGATATACCATGTAATACTCTGTAATATTCAGATATGAAAATATTATCTAATATTCATAAGTGAATATACCATCTAATATTCACAAGTGAATATATTATGTAATATTCATAAGTGAATGCATCATCTAATATTTAAATATGAATATACTATGTTTATTATATGCTATATTCATATATGAATGATACTTAAATTGTAAAAAGAAAAACAAAAAAAAAAAAATAATAATAATCATAGTTTTTATTCATAACTAAATAACGAATGTACTGTAGTAAAAACATGATTCATTTTTATTCACTTATGAATAACGATAGCTGAAAATATATAAAAAAAAAATATTTTATCTTAAAACTATATCAATATGGATGTCTATTTGTAGAGAATAAAAAATCATGAATTTTGGTATATTTAAAATCATTTTTCGATAAAAATAGCTTTTTAAAAATTAAAAAAATGAAATAAATATGTTTTTGTATATATTAAGGTAATGATTAGCATAGTTTAAGGAAACATGTTTTGTTGGAAAACACATGTCTATTCATTTCCCATTTCTGCTGGTACGACAGAGGTTTTTGCGGCAAAAATAAATGAGTGGCTGAGAATGATTCCCCCATTCTCAATTTTTTTTTTGTCAATTGAACCATCCTCTCTCTCTCTCTCTCTCTATATATATATATATATATATATATATATATATATATATATATATATATATATATATATATATATACTAGGTGTAAAACCCGTGGGACCCATGGTTGATTGATTTAAATAGAATCATAATTTTGATTACATAATAAACGAAGATACCATAGTTAAGAAAAAAAAAGATAAATACATAATAATAGTATATTTATTTTAATAAGATTGGCATTTGTAAGTATTTAAAATTTATAAATTTTAAGCAATAATGAATTTTTAATTATAAAAATTTATTTAAAGTAATGTAATTAACATGAATAAAGGAAAAACAACGAAATATTATAAGTTAATTAACATGAATAAATCAAATAGAATATATTAATATAATTT